ATAATTATATGTAGTTTAAAAAAAGATCAAATTTATTATACGACTAGACAAAATCACATTATATTTATATGTACATGTAAATATGTTAATAGACTGCAAAAGTCTCACTTGAAGAGACACACGCCACAAACTGAATTTGTTATTTAAAATTGTAATTTTTGAATAATAAAATAATAATAAAATATAAAGAAGAAAATGCCGGAGTAATAATAGAAATCATTCAGATTTTTTGAAAAAACTCAACAAAAAATAAAAAAATGGAATCAACTTGTTCATTTTGGTCAATGCCAAATTAGTCTTTTCAAAGTAAAGAGATCTTTTTCATTCGTGAGCTATTCGAACAGTCAAATTTCTTTACTCATCATGATCTTCAAAATATCTTCATAGATCACAACTAACATTGCAACTCAATTGTATCTAACATTGTACAAATTTCAGTTTTGCCTTGAATAAATTTTATATCATATGTCTCATTAGCTTGTGGTATTTCACTTCTTCATTAACAATTACAATAAATTAATTTATAATTTCTTTGGTACCAGCAAAAAATACATACATACTCCTTTTCCTAAAATGGCATTGTAATATCGGATTAAGTATACATCATTTGTTAGAAGTTTGAGGTCACTAAGGCAAATAAGTAGTTTCCAAATATCTTTTGCTTCATTCAAATTGTTATTGGAATTTACAGTTAATTTGCAAATAAAGGATTTGAATTTGACTCAAGAGCATAAATTTTAAAATAAAATTAAAACAATCATTATTGATTTTTTTAAAAACAATGCTAAGGCCAAAATAGATGTATTGATTTACCTAGTGACATCGCCACCTCTATCACACACTACTATTATATTGCAAAATTTTATTTATATATTAGATATATTACAAATACACAACACAGTGATTTCTTATAATTAATTTAAATTATTTATATAAAGTTCTCTGCTCCTCACACAATTAATTTGTTGTTATTCTAACCAAAACAAAATGACCCGAAAAAAATGACGGCCATGTTAAGCTCCAACTTTCATACATTATGCTACTGAATCATACTGCAAACTGTCAAAATTCATGTATTCTCTGTGCATTCAGGCGTTTTACACATAAACTGCAACGTTACTGTTATGTTATGAACCTAAATCAGGAAGTCCCTGTTATCTAACATCGTTTTTTTTTACATTTGTACGGTTTCTAGGTTAGGCTTTCTATCTGACAACCTGAGAAAAACGCCTGACTGCACATCAACCACATGACTTTAGTATGGAAAGTTCTTCATAACATAGCCTTGCCATAACATTGGTCTGTTATGCGGCAGAATCGGTCCAAAAATTGAACAATCGAAATAAATTCTATTCTGATACAACTTTATACATCATTACACTTCAAGTACCCAGTAGGATTTATATTTTACATCTCTTGTCACACAAAATATTTTTTAAATCGATTAAATTAAATATAAGATTTCATTTCGGAACCTTTTTACAAGTAATTTTCTTAAATTTTCATACCCATAATTGAACATTATTTATAAATCACACTACATATATGACTATTTATTAATAATAAATATTATTTTAACTATTTGTTTAAAAACAAATATTGCGTTTTTATATCTTGTCATACAAAATTGCACAAGCAAACAAACAACCAATATTAATTGGCACATGTATATACACAAATTTATATATATATATATATATATAATATATATATAATATATATATATATATATATATATATTATATATATATATATATATATATATATATATATATATTCCTCATCTTTATATGTGAAAATTAGCTCACATGTAAAATACTGTTCACATCAATTCTTTAGAATATTTTTTTAAAATCAGTAAATTTAATATTTATATGATATGCTACATTTTTATAAGAATTTAGCCTTAATGGCTAGGATACCTGTCCTTTTCCCAAGAGGCTTTGTTCGATTCCATGTATGGGTGTTAGAAAATTGCATATCCAGATCTGCAAATAATAGAAAATATATAAATAATTAATTATTACAACATGATTTAGTTTTAAAGATTTATTTGCCAATCTAATGGTATGTAAAATACTAATAGCACACTGATTTCCATTTGTTTCTAAATCGTCTCTATTTTCTAAATCATTGCTAACAATTCAAGCGAAACAACGTATTTATTGTTATTTATTATTGCTTGCCTATGAATATGAATAAATAAATAAAAAATGAAAATCTAAATACAAAAATAATTAAATTTATTAATCAGCAATTACATCATTTTTCTAATGAAGATTCATTTCTAAATGCTAATTACAATGACAAACCGATCAAGTCATATTTGAAGTATGACTTTAATTACATAATTGTTTATAAATATTATACATATTTTTAATGCTATTATAAATATATAATTTATAATTTATCATTATATAAATGTGTATAATGGTTGACACTAATAAATGTGTGCATCACGAGTGTTACCATATTACTGAGAATCATTTATCAAAATTGTTATATGATGTATTTATTTTCACTTAAATGCCATCTTGTACAGTAGCAAATAAGTTTTACTTCAATTGCGTGTGAACCTTATGCGCACTCTTTTTTTTTTGTTTACTATTAGGAGGCGTCTATTAATCACGCTATTAATCAAAATTTTCAAAAAAATACATTTTTACGAGTAGGAAATTCCTCGCTTAATTCTTTTAAATATTTGTTTGGGTGACCTGGTAATTTTTGCTCTTTTCATTTATCATTTCATTAATAATTTTTATTTTTAGGTCTTTATGTAGAGTGTCATTTGTAAAATACCAGGACTATATATATATATATATATATATATTATATATATATATATATATATATATCGTATTTGTGTAAGATATGGCTGCGTAGAACGCTAAGATTTTGCTTTTAAGCTCTTAAGAAAGTTTGTTCTTTAATCTCTTCATGGT